CCCAAAAAAAAAAATTAATTAAAATTTAAAAAATAGCTAAGTTACATATTTGAGCTTTTTGTGCTTTTGTGTGTGTTTCAGTTTTTGTTACAATCGCACACATGCTGCCTGAATAGTCTACGTCATGCATCATAGTTTTGAGATAAAAGCATAATGAATTTGTTTCCTAAATCGGGGCATACGGTTTCCTTTCCGCACTTAAAGCAAAATTGTGAGTCCTTTTCTACCGATCAATGGCGTGGTGGAAGACCATCGCGCAAGATGAGTTCGAATTTAACTTGAGTCTGAATGAGCTAATATCGAAGTAAACTGATAATTGAAAGTAACAAAAGTGCTCAATAAAATGTATCATTTATCTATCCTTTACTATCCACTTTAAAATCAAAGGTTGAAAGCAACTGTAGTTGTCAAATTTGTCTCCCCCAAAATGCACACCAGTACTACGTGGCGGAGGGAACAAAATCATCTCTATGTTTCCACAATCCTCAAATTGCATACCTACAAAGTGAAAGGATAATCTCCCCTTAAGAGCTCATAATCTCGTTCGCCCCCCAACCAGGCTCATATCAACCCCTACTTCAAATGAAAACCAGTATCCACATCACACCTATACCCAATCACATACATCACACCCACTAAATACCTAGACTCTTTTAGAACAAAAAAGCAAACCCCTCCAATCTTCGATATTGTAATGATTAATAGTATTGTAAAAGTACAATTCAACAAAAGGTTTCGTCGACGATAGTGCCAAGTAGACAATCTCATAATATCGTATTCACGTGCAATCTGCCTGACCACAGGAGCCGCCGTTCGTGATGGACAAAGAGCAACCCTCAGACGATGAACCTTACGAAGGCTTCTGCATCGACTTCGCCGCAGAGCTGTCCAAAATCGTGGGCTTCAAGTACAAGATCGAGCTGGTGCCGGACAACAACTACGGCACGAAGAACGCAGACGGCGAGTGGGACGGTATTGTTAGAGAGCTTATCGACAGGGTGAGTGATGGTAATAATTTAACACGTCATCAAATTCGAGAACGGCCTCTGTCGTGTGTCGGTTAGGAGTCTCGCTGTCGCGTGCAGTAGAGCTGTATTCGATTCCCAGGTAGAGAACATTTTTATTCAGTTTCTCGGTCTTTCTGCTGGAATGTATAATCTCACTCAACACGGGTTGGCCCTAACAGTGACAGGTTGAGTCTAAAGCCTGTCTTCTAAATGATCTAAACTGTTACGATGGAGATGTAAACAACTAATACATTTTTCTTTCCAAACCAGAATAAAAGTAAATTTCGACCCCCCCCCCCTATTTTATTTTAAGTGAAGCATGTCTTTTGTGCTTGACGGGCAAAATGATCCCACAAAGGACTGGAGACTACGGGTGTCAGCAGAAATGTATGAGCGGAAATCGAGCTCATATCTTTTATTTGCAACTGCACGCATCTTAGATCCCTTTACTTGTTTCAACTAAAACTTAAATTCCAGTGTCTTTAAGAAAATAAATGGTAAGCACTAATAACATCGTGTATCCAAAAGTCTATCGGCAACTTTCAATGGATGAACCCAAAGCACCATAAGAGCCTATTACGAATGTAACTGATTTGAACAAAGTGTATGACGGCATCGACACTTGCAAACTGTGAATCTATATATTATTTCAGTCTTTCATAGAACACACAACGTTTCACTCTTTACACCATTTAAAAAGGTGGTGAGTTCAAAATTCGGGGTAGGGCTTCTGCGAGAAAAAATACACGTTTTAACAAAAATTCAAAATGTTACACGAAATATGAACATTTTTATGCGTCCTTATAACTAGGATAATGAATACATCCTTCATCCTATTGATAATTTTTATTCGTTCTTCGGGGAGAAGCTAGCGCTCAACTGGAAACATGCGTCCAGCTGGGAGCAATCAGTTTGAAAGTTCACTGCACAAAGACAAGAATAAAATTCTCAAGGCCTTATCAAGCTAAAAAAGGGAAAGAGTTAGGTCAACATCGGACACAATTTATCTTTTCTAGCTCTTCGCTTATAGATGTTTCTTTGGGACAGTCTGTGAAAGCATTCAACACAACAAATGAATTTTTTTTCTTTCTCTTTTAAAAAAAAACTTGAACGTCAGTGCAAAAATTGGTAAAGGGCATGGGGCCTATTTTGAAACTCGGAAATGCATTATAAAACTATGTAATTTTTTATTCACAGTCGCTACCTATTACACAGATCTATCTGTTCACTGTCGAGTTTTTTGAACATTTGAGACTAAAATTTTGAGTTTCACATGTCAAGCTTTTTCAAATGCAATTCCTTGAATATCTTGATAACGACTCTGAATAATCTTACGATTTTGATAGAGCAGACAGAGCATCTGGTTTCTGACTTCATGGTCTTAGTAACTCAAAACGGCCCAAAATGATGACAGATCGAATTTTGTAATTCTAAGGTAGAGAGCTTGTCCCAGAAAATTTGAATCTTACAATGTATAGAGAAACCAAACGACGTTGTTTTAATAATAATATCTAATATGTTGGGATTTTTTTCCTTATCTGCTTTCCGTTATTTAGCCTGTCCATTCCTTCTCTTATTCATTCATTTATTCCTTCCTTAGTTTAATCATAAAATCATTTTGTCTTTTTATCTCCTGCCCCTGTCAATCATCAATATAACGTCATTAAAAAAAGCATTCAAGGTCTGGCTTCTTTTCACCCCACAGAAAAACAATGAATTAATTATTCCTTGCGTTTACGCAGCATTTCACTTCGTATTTCAGTCAAACATATTCCTTGATATATTATGCCATCCATCCTCAGAATCATTGCGAATCCATGGATTTACCCACCCACCCATCTATCCATATTTACTAATCAATTTTATTAAAACATTAGATCATCAATCCAACTTTTCATCCATCCGTTCATCCATCCATCCATTCTACAGCTAGCCCCTGTCATCTGCGAGTTTATTTCCCATTTCATTTCAACCTCTGCTCCTCCTCTCATCCATCCAGTTGTTAATTATTTTATCTTTATTTCTAAGAGAGCTGGTAGAAGGTGTGTTTGATTGGTCTTTTTCTCCTCCTTGAATTTTTATAATACTTTTACTGGATTGTTTTCCTCAATACCGAAGGACAGCAAATGTTCCTGGACAGCTTTTCATTAATTGTTGAGACTATGTTTTTCCCATCAAGAATAAAAGGTACCCTCGAGACCCATTTTCAATATCATTAATGGCCTGAGATCAAATCTATCTACGTTCATGGCGTAAATATAACGAGACCTTTGCATGGGTTTTTAAAAAAATTATGCTTGGTTGCTACGATTACTGTGATGACGGAAGTCATCTTGAACATGAACAAACAAACTGAAACATTCTTACGGCTATATATTTGTTGGCCAGAACAACATAAACCCCTGTCTAGGGAAAGCGATGAAATCAACCCATAAGATGAGACACTCTACTGAAGATCTTACTTGTCCCCCCTCCCCCACCCCCCCCAAAAAAAAAAATTAATTAAAATTTAAAAAATAGCTAAGTTACATATTTGAGCTTTTTGTGCTTTTGTGTGTGTTTCAGTTTTTGTTACAATCGCACACATGCTGCCTGAATAGTCTACGTCATGCATCATAGTTTTGAGATAAAAGCATAATGAATTTGTTTC